TGTAAAGCCTAACGGTGAACTATCTTAAATATTTTTAACATCCATTAAAGTGTCATGAAACTCCCATTTGCGAGACTCAACTTTTGTCTTCATAATTGATACTTGATCGCTTATTGTTTCAAGACAATAATGCTTTAGATAAATAGCCTTGGCTTGGTATTGCTAGGTCTGTATACTTCAATTACCAAAATCTGAAATATTTGGAATATTTTTAATTACTTGGGGAAACAATTGGGTTGTTTCTAATATTAAAATAGGAACTGTATCCTTTTATTTAATTAAGTTTATGATTGTCTTGTTAGACATAGACATAACATTTATTACTAATGAAACACACAAAATAATAATAATAATAATTAAAAAAAAAAAAATAACCGAAAATTATGGAAAGAAAAAAAAAGGAATTAAAAGTATATTTCTAGTGTGTAATGTGTATGTGTTGTGGTTATAACTGGCCCTGGATCAGCATTATGCTGTAGAGCAGACGTGTTCCACAGCGCTGGTCATTCTGCCAGAGACCACAATCTCATAGTGAATGTCGATGGCGCCTAGTTCCTCGACACTACGGCTCTAGTGCTAAGACATAAAACGCTTTTGAACTAGTGTACATATATATATGTCAAGTATATAAGACCGTTCTAAAGACACTAATGAAAAAAAATTGGCGCTACAACCTCTTTTAGGTCTAGGCCTCAGATTTCTAAATCTGTTTCATGATCATTTTTCAATCTAATAGGCAAGTAGGTGATCAACCTCCAGTGCCTAACACACGCCGTCGACTTTTTAGGTCTAAGACATGTCGGTTTCCTCACGATGTTTTCCTTCACCCTTCGAGCAAATGTCAAATAGAAAGAAAGTCCATTAGTGCACAGCCGGGGATCGAACCTACGACCTCAAGTAAGAGAGTCGCACGCTGAAGCCAATAGGCCAACACTACTCTGTTTCTTTTATTTATCGCTTTATATTTCAGCGATAAAATATTACGTGCGGCATGGTGGCCTTCGGTGATTTGGTACATGTGTATTTTCCTTATAAAATAAAATACCTACAAGTAACGTTGCGATTTACTTTTATCACTGTTTTCAACAAGCAATGTTAACCTATTGTCGACCCATGAATCTCCACACTAAGGTAGTGCGGTCAAACCCCGGCTGTAAAAGAATGCAATCTTCTACATGCGGCGGTTAATACTTGCAATGGTAAAGGAGAATCCAAAGACAAGTCTAAGACAATAACCGGCACATATCAAATACTCTAGGCGTTGAATAACATGATGATGTTAAGGTGAAGTTGGTGCGCCACTGATTTTTGTTGCTATTGATTGTTTATTTCACTAAAACAATAATTTATAATTTAAATAAAACTTCCACCCTCTGCCGTTTGTAAGTAGTATCATAAATTCGCGGGTACAAGTTTTATTTAAATATTTAATCGAATCAAAAACGTATTGCGTTACAAAAACAGCCCTAATCCAAAACACGAACTCGAATCACACCTACACATGTTAAATCTCTGAAGCGGATAGGAAATCAATTTAGTGTTAAAACAATTAAAATAAATCCCCTCCGAGTGCCATCGAACGATCGCTTACCGAACGGGGTTATTAGGAACAAATAGGATGGTCGCACGATTCACTACTAGTCGCTTTATAAATGTTCAACAATACACTCTTTGTAGTACAGCAATTTCTGTATATGTTCGAAGCAGACACATTTAAGGATTCGTCCTATTTTTAATAATATTAATAACTTATTTATTTCAGTCTATTTCCATATATAGTTTGTGTTAGACTTACTAACAATTCGATCTTAGTTGCTATTAACATATACTAACGTATTGAATTGTAAATAAGAAAAAAGAAATCTATAGTGGGGCATGCATACTAACGTTTTAAGATATGTTTATTTTATGTGATCATTGAAGATTGGTGCTAATCGTAACACAATGCATCAGGGATGCCATCCATTCACGAATGATGGCATTAAAACCGGGTCTCGGGAAACATACGCAATGCAGAACCTAGGGAAGCCCAAGAGCAACCTGAAGATTTTGTTATACTGAATACTGAGCGTAATCTTTTTATGTTTGTAATAATTTTTCTATTAAATCAAACCAGAATAGTTTTGTTTTCAATCTCCGGGTTTTAATAGACTCAATTCGCTACGCCATAGGGATACCAGTTCTTTATATAAGCAATCTAGAAGTTTCAAGATTTCAAAGATTCGCATAGTATCTTACCATTAGAGACGGACTAATACCGAGACGAAATAACCATCAAGCCGTCGTTACAAGTCTAAAGCTTCTATCAACTGTAATGAAGTTACAAATGCCCTAAAAGACGTATTACAACTTACTTCTAAAACTAAAAAAAAAACCAAATCCCTTCAAGTATATAAGTGCCGATAAAAACTTCAACGAATTGAGAACTTTTGCTTTTTTAAGTCGAGGATTAAAAGTATCGAGAGATGCCTTTCTGTGCCAACTAAAACCTGTAGCATAATACGCGAATGACGGCTTTCCTTTTTTTCGTAATAGCCCTCCCAGTGTCCTAATGGAATGAGTCGGCGTTTTCAATTTGATACTGTTTGCGATCCCCGAGATCAAATGATCTGCAATCTACGGTTTTCAGGTGTGAAATAAAATGTTTTCATTCGGGTAAGCATGAGAGAGATTATTAGATTATTGATATGCCTATCAGTATCGGAAACGGCTCACCCGAGTGTGGCTTTTGAAATGTAGAATCGGAGACGGAATTTAATATGTTTAAACGGCTAATGTAAGATATATAGATATTAGATAGATATATTTGAATTGTGCGTGGTAGTTGTAAAGATAATATTAATCTTATAATCGCCTAATTCTTTGCAATTATTAAAACTTCAGTATTAATAATTGCAAACGATTTATATTTTAAATATTGCAGGACCATATTAAAGAGAAAAACGTTATAATAGGTAGCTAAATAAATACTGGATGAAATATATTACCATCGCAAGCGAACCCGCCCGTGATTATCAATTAAAATTACATTATATTCAAAGTCTCAAATGTAAATGTACCTTGGAAACTTAAAATGAATTTCAATTGAAAATACGCTGCAGCTTATAACCGGTTCATTCCCATACGGTCAGCGCCACGTGCGAGCAAATACGGCACTATATTTTAATTGCGCCCGCTAGGCTGCGTGTGACACTAAATTTCAGTCGACGTTTACGAGCGCTTTAAATGTTATTGTTAATATTTTGCTTTTCAATTTAATTCTTTATCCAATTATTATAATGTTTTGCAGTGTTGTTATTGTTATTGGATTATAAACAGTGATTGTTTTTAAAAGAGCAATGATGCTGGCGGCTTAAGCGTGCGACTCTCATCAACGTGGTCGTGGGGTCGAACCTCGGCTGTGCATGGACTTTCATGTGTGCACAACTAAAGTGTGTTAGCAATACTGATCTATTTTCCTATCAGAAAAAAAAACAAATGATCGTGAAACAGATACAGGCAATAGTTTAGAAAATAGTTTTGTGGAGAAACTTAGCACCGAGCTTACTAGTTAGATTAATACTTTTTATCATTTTTAATTTTACTTTTTTATAGTACAAGTAGAAAGAGAGAGTTTAAAGACACTTTTTTATCGTTTCAGTATTAGTAGTAGTAGTTAGGTGTCGATCTTTAGCGACCAATTAGATTGGAAGAGAAAGAGAATAAGCAGAGAATTAGAATAAATAAACGAATCTACTCAATAATATGTATATATTACATATATCATATATATGTACTATACTGTAAAGCGAATGGCATGCATTTGGCAAATAATATTTTCTCGATTTCATTACATCGTGAAAATCTGATGAAAAGGTATTGCATTCGTTGCAAATGAAAAGCACCGAACTATTTCTTGTAGTATTAAAATCCTATTTACATAAATATTTATTTAAAACTTCAGCAAGTTTCGTATTAATTTATGTTTTAAAATTTTCTTATTCTCTTTCAGTTTTAATCAAAAGGATACTTCAGTTAGTTAACAAACGTCTTATGATTTATTAAAGTAAAAAAACTTCTATCGTTAAATTGTCAAAACTAAAAAAAGTTTACTTGAAGAATTCTATGCTATAATATGGTCTATAATTATGTACTGTAAGAACATATATTTAGATTAATATCTTAATATCTTAAAATCAATAACGTAATAAATAAAACATAAATACTATTTTTCTGATAATTATTCAAGTCCTAAAAAAAAACTATAAATAAATGGCTATCACATTTCGGCACTTGGTCTATCTATCTATACTTATATATATAAAGGTCTATAGATAGACGCTGTACAAAAAAAAATGGTTTGTGGTTTTTTATAACACTGTCAAAATATCTGCGACAATTCAGTAGTGCACCAATAAAAACTGAAAAGTTAGGCGACGAAAAACGCTTGGAAATCTACCTGCGCAAAATATAAATCCATTTACAGCACATCCGGGCACGCCAGGACCGCCTGCTCTGCATATAAAACCATATACAACTTTCAGACGTTAAAAGTTCCCGGGAAAATTTAATGTACCGGACGGATTGCGCCAGAAAACGTGCTCATATTAAGTAACTTATACCTCTCAATTATAACTTCAGCTTTATTAAGGTAATTGATTTTAATATCACTGAATAATTTTGTGCTGTATTCCAGCTTACTGCAGCGTACTGCTTCAGTCGGACCAAATGCTGAAGATTTGAAGAAAATATTTAAGTAGTTTGTTTTCAAAAAGATTCTTTTTAAGTTTAAACTACTTAATAAGCCACACCTAATTTTGATGAATGAACGAATGAAGCCGATGTCATGGCAAAACCATAAAATCATCTTGTAAAACAAAATACTCTTAAAGAACTGGCAGACTGTTTATTTCTAGTAGTAAATGTACTTTTAGATTTATTTCTTAACCGTTACAAAAGTTACTATATGAAAAAACTGTAAATTGACTTAAAGGGAGATACATTTATAAAGAAGTAAATAATTAACTTACCCGATGATGCAACGACATATTACTGCCATTCTGAAATCGGACGATGGTCTGAAGTGACGCTGGCGTTGACATGCTCTTTGTAATCGATGAGTTTGCATTCTCTTTCTCTTGTTGTTCTTTCAGCAGGAGGCCACGCGCTATCTTCGCGTTCAGACTCTTATTAAGATGCTGCTGCGGCAATAATGGAGCCTCCATTGTTTTTGTTGTATAAGAAGGTGACGACGTCTGGCTAAATGAGTCTGACGAAACGTTAGAGTCTTGTCGTACGCTTATAGTTGAGCCTGAACTCGGCGAGCGCTTGATCTGTGTCTGTGGCAGCGGGTTATCTGGCATTTTCTGTGGCGGCCGCCTCGGTATTGTCGGTTGAGGTGGTGGTGGAGGTTGTTGTGGGATTTGTGGCGTTACTGAAGGTTGAGTTGGGAATTGCGGCTGTGAGGGATTGCGGTTGCAGTCCAATCTTGGAGGATTCGTTTGTATTCTACGATTGCCGTTGGGGTCTGTAGCAATGGGCCTAGGGGGTGTAGGTGGGGGAACCCTTCTTGGTGGTTGTGGCGACCGACGGGGTGGCGCAGGTGGTACTGGCAGGGGAGCGACCGGTGCAGTTCTCTGTGGCACTGGAGGAGGCTGTGGTTGCACTGGCTGAACTGGTGGTGGTGGTAACTGCAACAATATATTTAATCAGTAGAAACAGTCTTTAAGGCCGGCAACGCACTCGGAATCTGGTCCATGGGCGGCGATATCATTTAACATCAGGTGAGCCTCCTGCCCGTTCTATAAAAAAAAAAGGGTCCGTGTACTTATGTACGCGCGTAAGAAGTTATACTTCTTTGGCAATATTAAAAATAGTTTGGCTTTGTTCCACCTCCAGTTTTTGATGTTTCACAGCGATAAGATGAAAACTCTTTTTTTTGTATTCAATTTAGTGCAGTTACACTGATTCATCAATTGTTTTTTGTCTCTTTTCCTTATATTTCCTAGATAAAATCAGAAAAATTACATGTTTTGATTAAACAATGTGGTTAATTTTTTAATCAAAACATTACTCGATAATAATAATAATACATACGGATAGTTAACCTCAATTGTATTGAAGCACTTAGGAAGGTTGATGAGCACAGTTTTTTCACAAATATTAATTAGTATTGGTTTAAATATTCAATTTAAATCACTTCTGATTATAATTCAAAAAGCATCGCTAAATTTCTTTGAAAAAATAATTAAAACTCCTTTATTTGTTTAAAAGATAAATGACAAATGTCATTATGGTCATTCAAAATTGTTGGCATACGAACTTCACGCATATTCTATTTCTTTTTACTTGTAGATTGTCTTATTCCTATCTCGCTCGCGCACGCTATAATCACACTCCTAATTTTGTGTCACGCGCACCCGCGCATTGTAAAATTTCACTCTCATAAATTTTTCATAACGCGCCTAAAGAAGTATAACTTCAAAAACTCATTTCTCTCACTTGCATTTCCGCTGAGAAATAAAGTCAAAGTTCGTGTTAAAATAGTGTAGTTAAACTAATTTAGTAATTGCGAGAAAGGTGTTCATCCGTTTGTGTTAATTACATGCAAATCAGGCGATGCAGTAATCAAAATGTCATTAATTAATAATTATCCAATATCATATCACATAAATTGTGGACTTTATGGGTTATAGCGTACGTAGCATTAACAATTCAATTATTTTCATTCTAATTAGTTATTAGGATTTAATACAAGTGAAATTTAAAAAGCATAAAGCAGTTTAGTTAATATTAGAAAAATTTCTTGATGTTAAAGTCTCTATTATGAATACAAATATTTGGCAAAGAAAATTTAATAAAACAAACATCTTTGGGATGGAGCTGCAATATCTATAGTCAATATTGGGTGTAGTCTTCGGTAATTACACGTGATGTATTGATCTCTGAACTTTTCCCGGGAGCTGCGGCCTTACAAAGAATAAGTGATAGGAACTTGCTTTCCGCGGTTATAACTGTTTTTTCATAAATCTTTTGTTTTACTGAAGATCATCTATTTAAAAGTAGAGAAGACAATACTTAAAACTTGTACCAATACGCAATTATTAATATTTTAATATTTATTCTAAGGTGTCACAAAAGATTTTTAACTATTATTTTATACAAATACATCTACATTTTTTAGATTATGATTAGCAAAAATATAAAATATATCAAATTTCAGTCCAGCTTTAGTTTAGCAGTATTAGTGGTCTGTTGTTTTAGTCACTGTGCACCTAGAGGTGCTGGTTTGGCTCCCGGGGAAACTTTTTTCGATTTGGATTTGGTGCGCTGTGTACCCAGCAATGGGCTGTATTTTATATATAATGTACATGTCTCACCTTTACAAGCCGCGGGGGCGCCAGTCTCGATGGTGGGCAGTAAGGCAATGCATCCGAGGGACAGTAGACGAACCCCGAGGGTCTGGGTTGTGGTGGTGCACAGGCTGCTGTGGAGTGTCTTCTTGGCGTGCCAGGATTAGGTCTCAGCAATTCCATAAGCTTTTCACCAGGTGTCGCTGCGAGGCTGCCCGCTCTGCCGCATCTTATAATAAAAGCAATAGGATTTTTATAAAATTAACATAAAAGATTTTAGTAAAAAGTTTTGATTTGTTTTCCACGTCTAACGCAATAAATATTCTATACGTTACATAAAATTCATAATGCGAATAGCGTTGCACATCGCTTCCTTATCTAACACTTGCAGTCATTATTTTATGTTATATTGTCCATATGTTCTTGCATATTTCTAAATAAGGTTATAAGCGTCTAAAAGTTTAAAATATAATATTAATAACAAATTATTTAAATAAAAATAAACAAAACACGATAGCGTGTGATTCAAGCACAAATAAACGAACGGACCAAGAACGATCAAACAATTTCATTTTAAATCTATTAAAAATCATTTAAAATAATTTATTTTAATATTCACATATGATGATATGATTTGACGCTTGAAGGTCCATAAGGCCACCTGTTGCACGAAGTATATTAACGACGATAATAAATTACTATTTAGTCTAAAGATTTCGTCTTCCACGCCAAGTGTTTAATTAGGCGCCGGGCAGCGAATGAAGCGGCCTATTCATTATGTTGACAGCTAATTACCGCCCTTGATTAGCAACATCGGTTACCGCTCAGCCATTCAATGCGCTGTCGTCTGTTACCACTCAATAGGACCCCCGGCCTCTTTTAAATATTATTTGTGCTTTAATGCGTACTCTTTTTTAATAATCTTCAAAGAAAATAATTGTTACATTTAACCAAATAAATACAGCATAAATAAAGTCATTGTTTAGAAGCGCGGCATCCAAAATTAAAATAGCCATGAGGATCGCCAACCTTCGCAAGGAGATGGCACTATTAGAAGAAGAAGAAGAAGAAATAAATACAGAATAAAATTGTTTTTCTCTTTTTTTATGTGTTCTTCTAGTACATCGTCTTTAAAAATATTATGACCCGGCAAACATTGTTTTTCCATGTACCTATATTATTTCTAGGAAACATTTTTTTAGTTCAATAAAAATAACTATCTACTATAATAAAAATAGGAGTTGATCATAAAGGGGTGAAAAGGGGCTATATGTAATTGTGTATGCTGTATCATAAAGAAATAAAAAATAAAAACAAATTTTTTGGGGTTTGGGGGACCACCATTTAGAAATTTGAAAGATAGATAGTAGCCGATTCTTAGACTTACTGAATATGCATAAAAATTGCATAAGAATCGGTGGATCCGTTTCGGAGGAGTATGGGAACGAACATTGTGAAACGAGAATTTTATAAATAAGATATAAAAGATTTTATTAAAAGATCTTGTAAATTTAATTGAAAATATTTATATTGCTGTATAATAAGCTTCAATAGAAATGGGCAGGTCATATTGCTAGAGCGCGGGATAAAAGATAGACACTTGAAATAACGAAATGGACTGGACCTACTGGAAAGAGATGTATAAGACGACAAAAGAAGGACGGACAGATGACATTATAGAACTGGCGAGGAAAAACTGGATGAATATTGCTCAAGACAAAGAGAAATGGAAAAATATGGAGGAGGCTTTTACCCAAAAAGGGGGCCATACAAAAACTAGAACACAAAAAAATAAAGAAATAAAATCTAACTTAATTTTTTTTTTCAAACTTATACTAACACAACTAATACTAATATTAAGGAATGTAAACTAACAAATTGTTGTATGGATTAATAAAGCTTTAATAATTATATGTGTAAGATAACTTTACCCGCAACCTCCCGCACGAGTTTTCTCAGTTGAAGTACCCGCTGCGAACTTAAACGGAACACATATTGAACGAATATGTTTTATATATTTTGTGAGAATTAGTGTAAAAAAATTATTTTATTATTATTGTATTGTTATAGTTATCGTATTTCTTAAGTCTTAAGGTACATTCCAAGTTAATTACGCCAAGTGCTGTATTTCTCAATACTACAAATCATATTTGGTAAAATCTGTTACACTTAACTTTATATGAGGGGAAAGATTGATCTGTTATTATTATAAAAATAGTATAAGGGACCCTAACAATATATGAAATAATTGTAAAGATATATATTATATGGAATAATTGTAAATCATCTCCAGTCACGAGATCATAGTTAAACAAAGTTGTGTGTAGCGAACACAACACAGTTAAAACGTAAAAATTATGTAAAATATAAATTTTAATTCATAAGAATTTGCAATTAACCTTCCCAATAAGGGTTAGATATCAATCTAAATAGGCCTATTAATTGTTCTCGTAAAAGTTTAATCTAATTATTACATTGGTATAGACTAAAACATTAAAAAATAGGTTCGCTGTATTGTGATTTTTCAGTACTCGTGTCGTTTCGTAGTCGTCGTCGTAGATTTGTTCACTTCGTGATGTGACCAATGGTTTACTACAAATCATTTTTATACGATCGGGTCAAGCCACATTCATTGGGATAACGAGAATCCTCTTATGAGCATAATAGATTATGCTTTCAGAATTAATTAACTCGTAATTGAGACAAGATATTATATTTCGAGTTATCTGGAAAGGAACTTAAAATGTACAAATTAAATATCGCCTCGTTTGATAAATTTCTTTACGTATATATACTGATTTTTATTTAATTAACTACACTAGATCTTAACACCGACTATGATAATATTTAGGGCAGGTAAGATCATCATAATACTTTTATCGAACAAGTGACACTTCTATGCCTCAAACATTAATTTCTAGAAGTATTACATACAACATTGCGGTACTAATAAGACGAAAGGTTTTAAAATATTTAATATGTGTCTATGTTAAAAATTTCTAACTTAAGTGCAAAAATCTGATGAGAATTTTAGAAATACTTTTTCGGTAGAAAATCGGACGCGAAGGCGAAACGTACGTATAAACGTTCGAAGTTTCTCTTTTTATTTACTTTACTTTTTGGTATCAACGCTCCACTGCCGAACTAGACTAGTTTTAGAATTCTCTTTTTAAATTTCTTTATGTAACTAACAAATCGACTATTTACTAATCTTATTTTCTATCATGACGGGAACTTCACACTTAAACGACGACTACAATAGATCATTTATCTATATTTATGGATTCGGATCCAATATATGTTTTTTAAAAGTTATTTAATTTTACACTCAAAATAAATAATAATGAAATTAAAATAATAAAGCCCATGTTAGTACACATTTTTTTTATAATATTAAATCAAACTCGGGCAAACAGTATCAAATGAATTTAAGAATCTATTTGAAAGCACCTTAGTACTTATAAAGTCTAATGACCTCGTCTGTGTCTCTATATACGAAACTCAATAACTACATTTTCATCAATCGATAGAGTGATTCCTGAGAAAGGTTTACGTATATATTCATTGTGTTGTATGTAAATTGACTAACATATAACGCTTATTGTCAACGACTATTATTTATGTTTATACAATTGCAAGCTTTAGGTATCTTTATTGTTTATTCATCACATACTGCAGACCGGCCTCTGCGTATTCAAGATTTCCATCCTTACATGACATTACTTTTATTAAACGTAAAAAGGAACATTACTCGAGATACTATTTCTATGTATGAATTTACAGTTTTAAACTGTGCGTAGTACACGGAAATTTCCAAAAATACCATAAAATATATTTTATGAAATAATATTCAAAATCATTATTAAATTTAATCCCGTAACTGGTGCGATGACGCCTGCGGCCGCATTAAACTTTCCTAATTAATCACCCCTTATGTGGCCTACCATTACACTTTGGAATTAAAACATGTCGCTATATTTTAAAAACTAACCTGTTATTGATAAAACTGTAATAAAATCATCATTTACTTTATAACCACTTCTAGTTTGAGATTTCTTGACAGACTTAAAACAATCGACAAAGGATTCCTCCTTTAACTTTATCTTTTACTATTTTAGTTATTAATGTCTCTTTATAAAAGGCATTTTGATTATGGATCGAAGGATTATTACTTACAAACTTTTTACTAGTACGTGATAGGAGAGATGATGCGTACATATCAGGCGAAGCGCGCCCATACGGTGACTCAAAGAGAAACGTGCAACGTATGAACCTACCTTACAATAGTTTAATCTTCATTTATTCACATTTTGCATGTCGAAAAATTTATGTAATCTTAATCAAACGTTCAATACGCTTAAAGCAATATATTTAAAGCATAAAAGAAATTAATTTCATATTAATAAATATTCGTTATACTCGTTATTTCATTATTACATTCTTTATCGTCTACTTTATTTCTGTATCTATTATACTCAATTTTAATTGTTTTTCATGGATATAGATAGTTATTTTAAATATTTCTTATAATCACCGTAGTTGTTGCACATTCTTGGACATTTTTAGACATTAATTGGTATGCGCTCATATGAAAAATAAACTATAATTAAAATCTCGTTAGTATCGAGTAACGCAGGTGGCGCCAGTGCGCCAGGATTATCGAATATACTTACGGCCTCATGTGGACTAGTACATCACTCCTGTCACCTTTATACCATGGGATTACAGTATCTTGATTTATGGGGAAGGCAATCTTAGGAAATTTGATATACAATTTCCTTTGTTTTAATTGATAAAATGCTTTGGCTTATACATATATACCCAAGCTTTTTAGCCTAGTTTGTTTAGTCGGTTATAAACTTTAAATCACTGTGATACAACTTTTTAGTTCTAGGCCTCAGGTTTGCATATCCATTTTGTGATCATTTGTGTTTTCTAATACGCCAGGAAATTTCTGAACCCAGGACCTCAGGGATGACAGTCAGAAGCTACTAGGCCAACACACGTCGATTAACAGATGAAGAAGGTCTATTAAATAGCTAATTGTATAGAAATCATGTATAGTAAGTTTTCATTTAAAGTAGGTTATTTATTTATGAGTGCCAAGTACCCACATGTTTCAAACCTTTATTGCAATTTCCAAGAGTTATTAAACAATTTTTATTTCTCATTTAAAGTCTTAATTGTGAATTATTTAGACACACACGTTTCGGTGTTTTACTGAAAGTAAAACTAAACGAATTTACGTAAATATCTATCTCTAGTAACAGTGTTATTTCACTACATATAATATATATCTCAGTTAATGGGCCATACAACACAGATCGAATTTTTCAAATGGAACCACTTGTATCTGAAGTAGATCTCAAAACAGCGCGCTAAACCAAATAAACTGACTGAAACTCTGAAAATAAAATATTTTTTTCCTGTTTTTCCAAAAATTTTCATTGCTTCGATCGTATCGTATGAATTTTTAAAATCGGGGGCTTTTTTTATTGATAAAAGCTTACCAACGCTCGGCACACTGATACATTGGTAAAAGAACCACAATATACAATTTTTTGACAAGAACTTATATGCAAACTACACGATGAGATAATACAAATAATAAATAAAACAATTGCATAAACTTAACGAAAATCGATATTAAAAAATTAACAATGGGAAACGGGCAGAAGGCTCATCTGATAGTATTACCGACGCCTAGGACACTTACAATGCTAGAAAACTCGCGAGCGCGTTGTCGGCCTTTCTAGAATTGGTACGCTCTTTTTTTTGTAAAAATACCCAGAAATACCTTAACGCACAGCTGGTTTCACAATTTATCCCTTTACAAACAAAAAATATTTTTGTATAATAATAAAGATTTCAACAGCTTTAAGTATTACTAAACGAGAGACACTTCATTTAAGCAATTCTTAATATCCCCGGGAATGGAAAGATAATGAAGTGGTGATAAGAACGTGTCGGCGATATTTAGAAGAGGTACTTAGTGAATCATTAAGCACCCGGAAAGAAATGAAAACCTTATTGATTTTTGAAAGGTTTTGTGGACTATTTTAATATTCAATTGGTTTCTCCTTCTTAAAGGTCCAAAGATTACAGAATTTACACGTTTTTATGGAAATGCTTTAATATGGTAGAATGGAGAACTTTTGAAGAAGAGTTTCGTAAGTTATTATATTCGAATGTTAGTAAGTTCTCATGTAATTTTCACACGTGTATATCGTATATATTACATCTAATATATAAAATTCTCGTGTCGCGGTGTTTGTGGTTAAACTCCTCCGAAACGGTTCGACCGGTTCTCATGAAATTTTGTGTGCATATTGGGTATGTCTGAGAATCGGACAACATCTATTTTTCATCCCCCTAGATGTTAAGGGTAGTCCACCCCTAAATTTAATTGTTTTAATTTTTAGATAAATTTTTATTTGAATATTTTTTTATGATACAACATTAAAAAATACATACAACCCCTTATTTTCAGGATCAGCTAGTATTTTATAAGTGTTTAATTGTCCTCTTTTTGACATGTTTTTGTTTTGTTTTGTTTGTTGTTTTTGTTTATGTTTTTTTTTCGGTTATGTATGATATTTGAGAGGATAAATAAAATAAAAAATGTATATCGGTATAATATGCAAATTTATTCAAAGTACTGGACTCCGAAATGACAAATTAATTCACAAACAGTTTGAAGTCCAAATCATCCATATTTCCGTTGCGTGTAAACTAAGTCTAATTTAACATTATATGATTTATCGTAGAAGTTAACCTTTTTATTAGACCTATTGCGATAGATACTGCCGTATTTCGTCTCGTTCTATCAAATTGTGTTAACGATGTAATGAGGGTTTTAATAAATGGTTTTTAATGAATTTGAAATTTTTATGCCAACCACTAGCGGCGGTTGTTTCATATAAAACCTGGTAGTGTTTCTAGTAAGCTGATTAACATTACTGAGCTATCAAAATCTACTATAATATTTCAAATTCACATAGTTCTAAATTCAAATTGGTTTGGGTATTTGCATATAACGGTGAATTCATTCAATTATAGCTTTTAATTTTTTTCTTAAATACGTATAATTCTATGGTTATTAATTAAATGGTTTCAGTAAGATTCAATAATTCAAAACAGAAATTAGTTCAGTCCATTTGTCTTTACTTATACGATTAATCTTAGTCAAATTTACAACTTGTCCCATCGGAATTGTACACACAGGGAACTATGCCTTAGAAAGGAAATTTTGCTGAGCCATTTTACATAAGACGATACGACAAAAAAACATGTATCTTATGCCTTTATGGAAAGCGTCCAAAGCAACTCAAATTATGCTACTACAATTATTGTATATTTTACATAAAATAATTTTTACTAGAATTTATTTTTCAAATACCAATAATCTATTGTAAAATGAAGCGCATTATTAAAATTTGTCGAAGAAATATAATAATTAAACCGTTACTCGGATCACTGCCCGCTTTCTATGCATTTTAATACTGCTTATTAAACTAATATTTTTTAATCGCTAATAAAATGTACGATGAAAACTCGGTTCAGTTCTAGGAATATAAATTACTCAGCTTAAGGTATAAAGAAAGAAATAAGCAATTTCTTGAAAATAGCCAATAATTTATACTGAATTAATTCTGTCCGACACAAAATATTTCATCAGATCATCCAATGCGCAAAAATTAAGTTCACGATAGTATTAAGTTTATATTTGTGTTACCTAGTTCAATTAATATATCACATTATTTGACTTGTGACTAACTTCGGCACTGTCATGAAATTTTCGTAGCTTTTCGTAATCCTGCTTTTATAGCTAATTTATTTATTTATATATTATATACATATCTTAAATAGAAAATAAGTTGGTGTGGTGGAAACACAAACTGGACACAGTTTTTCTGTCCACCAAGACGTCGAACATATTTAAATAACTAACATACTAAGGCCAGTGACATATACACTATTGTACGTAAAACGTCACAAACCAATTGAAATATTTACGCTCCACAATTAGCAGACGCAAGAAACCGTATTCCTGTATTCAAAATTCAAAAATCAATTAATCATATAGGTACACTTATGACTTGTCAGTAAAGAAATACATATTAATGCTTCTAATTTTACATTTAGTGCCAGTTCTCAAATCAAGGGCGTAGAATGGAAGAGAAGAACTGGCAATAAACTCTCCGCCACTCTTTTTAATCGCCATGTTTTTTTTTTACACAACGTTTGTAAGGAGCTGCAACCATTAAACCATGTTCCACATGACATCTTAAGTAATTATATTTATAATTATATTCGAATAAGAATTAAATGAAGATGATGTCTGATTAGCATAATGCTTATGCATAATTTATAATTGTTTGATTAATGTAATAATTTTTTAATTAATATAAGTTTATTTTGTTTCCAATAAATAACATTTTGTTGCAAAATCGGATGATCAATTAAACAACTAGTATAATACATTTTATGAAACTGGCATATTTTTCGGCTTTTATAAATCGTATAATAAATGTCGTGTGGTAAACGTTACGTCTAAAAGTATCTGTCCCGATTGACGGTTCACGGAAGCTCGCTGTCGTTAACAAACATTGCCTTTATTAGCTTCATAGTTCGTATTTGCTTGCTCCTCTTATTTTATTGCATACCTACGAGATTCCGACACAATTTTGAACCTCAGGGGAATGCGGAATGAGTTGCAATATAAGTTCTTTCAATTTTTTTTTTTAAATTATTTTACCGCCGTTAAAAATATTAATGAAATATTAGAAATAAAGATAATTAATATTTGTAGATGATAATATTATGCTATTAATGTTATGTTACTAATTCCAACGGTTTCAGAAATTTAAGCTAGGTTAGTTCTTAGGTAATGTTTAATTATCTATCAAAACACTCACGCTGTTTTCCCGAAGGGGTAGACAGAGACCACGGACTACACTGGCTACAGTCCTGACATGCCTATCTCGCTTCATCCACTTTAGTGACATTCTCGATGCATGCTAGTCTATTATGAGTACTTTTGACCTGTTCTTTCTCTAGTACCTACTGGATTTCGTCCAGGTATGTACGACAGATCCTACCCCACTTCACTATTCACGGTTTCCTTGTATATCCTACTCATAAGCCGCTTCTCATTTATCTTTCATGGTAAAACCACACAAGCATTCTCTGTCGTATCCGTCATAACGACCTATTTTATCCCACACGGTTCACGTATCTCACTATTACTTATATCATCACGCAATATACTTCTTCTTCTTCTACTTTAATGTACCTCTTCCACGGCCAGCATTCACTATAGAACGTTGACGTTGGGACAAGAACACCTCTATGTACAGCTAGTCAAACCTCATTTTTGATTTCCTTGATAAAGGATTATATCATTTTAAAATGAAGATTGAATTTCATATAAAAAAATAGATTTTATTATTAAAATATATGACTCACCGTCCCCTGAGTGGATCGTCACCATCTGGCACATCCGGTTGTAACTGCATCCCGCTCTGCGCCCACGTCACTGTGAGCCAATCTGCCAATATAAAAAAATATTGTATTTCTTTTTTTATTTTACATTACTATAGGCAAACGGGGGAGGGTCGCTTGATTTTCAGTGATACCATTGCCCATCGAATACCAGAGGGCTGTTAACGAGTGCGTTGCCGTCCTTTTAAGAATTTGTACGCTGTTCTTTCGAAGGAACGAAGGAAGGAAGTCGAATTGGTTCGGAATAACTTCAGTGGTCAGCTGGTTACACATAGTGGTGGTGCGCATTTATTACAGCATATGCCAAAACAGATACATATTATTAACTAATTAACATTATTTTATTTACGTAACTATTTATATTTAACAACTGTATGTAAACCCGTAATAAAAGAAGGTGTTGATTTGCACAATCAAACGTCTAATGGAACCTTAATACTGCTGATTAGCGACCTCAGCAAACTGTGGACGCCGGCTGTATTTATACTTAATTATAAAAGGGATAGATATACACCATCTAAACTACAAGGTAAAGAAGAATATTTTTTCTTTTTGTAATTAAAATTATATATCCAAATAGTGCATGGCAACATATACAAAACAATATATGTGTCTGTTTTATTGGTTCTTTTGTACCAGATTTTATATTCACCGTCGTCGGGTATTTAGATATTACCCGACGACGGTGTCCTTACGATGTTTTATTTTGTCAATTCCACATTTGAAAATGAAAATTTCACTACAGGACAGTCTGGTATACTCTTTGTAACATATGAATATAAATGTAATGCTAAATTGAAAGTTACGCGACAACTCGTAGAAAATTATAAGGAGTAAAATAAACAGTTAATCTGTCACACCAAACGTTTCACGAAGTGCGTATAAATCAATAGAGCCTCAGGGGCGTACGTGCCTTCTACTTTACGACCTGATCCTTTATATATATTTACGATTCTACAGTGTTGAATACAATAATATGGATATACCATTTATTAAATCGAGCAAGGATGCTGATATGCCAAAAACACATTTAAATTTAGTAAATTAAGTCGTTTAATTTGGAATGTTTAATGGCGACATTAAAACGAAAATAAACTCTTAATTTTATGTTAAATAATTCAATAAATAATAGTTGAAAAAACTAAAAAACACGCTTTTAAAGCACATCAAACTAAAAAGTGAAAAATAATTCCTAATTTAGGCAGAAAATGGTAATGAACAAAAAATACTGGTATTATTGTGAAACAGCGTGGGGCGCTCTGTGCCATATTTTTCGTCTATCGAGCAATCCACGCTTTTTCACAATAATACCGTTTTTTAGTTTTTTTAAACTGTTATTTATTTTTTAGTTAATTTTTTTTTTATTTTTTTTCCGATTATTGCATTGTCATCGATCTTTGACAGGTGCGCAAAGTTTGAATTAAATCTGTCCGTTAAAAGTGGGTCAAAATCGAGTTCGAAGGAGTCGGTTACATACATACATACATACATACAGGTGAAGCTAATATAAAGGGTTATATTATATTGATGTTTTGGATGAAAGATATGTCGGTTTCGGGAATTTTTATCACCGTTGTTTTGAACAGAACACTTCAAACGAAAGCTTCACTAGATGATGCTGAATGTAACCGTATAAACAAGAATCGCAAGCAAATCAATATATATTTTATTCATTTGAATTTTTTTTAAATACTGTATACTTGATTGTAAATATGAAATATATATACGTTTTAGACTGAGTAAATAAGTATTTATTCATTTAGGTTTCACAATGTACACTTATGAACATTAGTAAAAATATATTTTTAAATTTACATTTACTGCCTGTTCTAAGGAGCAGCCTTGCGATTCTGTAACTCACTTTTCGAACTCTCACAGCGGTTTTCACAGCGGCGGTCGCGCTCAAATCCGTCGTAAAGCAGTCATTTTACGATTTGGCATTCTGAGAAGGAGGGAGCTTGTAGTTTATTGTTTATCAGAATGCTCTTGAGAACAGTAAACTACATTAACCAATATTATAAGCCCCTATTTGTTGGTGAAGTAGGGAAAAGTTTTGTTGAATTATAATTACGTAGGTATTGTGAAACAGTTAGTAGCGGCTTAAGTTTCAATAACTTTCACGAATTTAATATTTTATTATAAGCCTCTCGTTTCTAAAGGAAATTAATCAATTATTGTCTTGACTTTTAGAAAATAATTGGTATATAATCAAAAGATTACGATTATTTGGCCCTTAAATTTTTATCCAATTATAGATAATTGATTATCTTTATAAATTGCTAATGCCTGATTAAGTAAAGAGAAATTTAAGCTGTGAAAGACTTATTAAACTCAATTAAATAGATTTTTATAGGATCGATGCAAACGAGTCTCCTGAAGCCCATAAAAAGCGGTTATCGCGGCCCATGCCATTTGACGCCCGAACCCATTAACCTATCTCAATCGATAAGCCACTATCAGAGATAGTGATTTTAATCCAAATGTTGTAACAAGTGTGCCAATAACCAATCGGCGGATTGTAATAGCCATCTGTCGATACGAACTATCCATGGGAAGTCGTATCGGTGTCTGTAGATAGACCTTTGTATGAAAAAGACAGTTGACCAAATCTTGATGTCAACAGTAATTTATTTTAACAGATTTTAACTTACACCAGTTTTTAAATAATTAAAAAAACTGTTTGTTATGTTTTAAACACACATGTATATTTTAATGTCATTTGTACGGTTTTATTTACTTTATTTGGTTAACATTGATTATCAAATATGAGTGTAAACTCGGTAAAATGGAACGACATAGAGCATTTTATCCGTCGCCAAAAATGGATTGTCTTCGTAGAGTTTGGTTGTTGGGATGCAGATAGGAGATCGATCGACTGTCACGGTCTGATCTCAGATTGTTTTCAATCTGAGATTGTGGATTGATTATTGGGTTCGGGCGTAAGTGGGTGGATTGACGGCTTTTGAGAGGGAAGTATGCTTTCTTTTTAAACAATTGAAGGTCGTATCTCCCAGGGAAGACCCCCACCGGGAATCGATTCCACGGTTCGCTAGTATATAAATCGATACTAATTTTAGTTTTTTCTTTAATTGTTCCGTTTTAAATCTAGTATTTATTCGCTGTATATATCGCTTGTACCTCCCACAGAGTTCTGACTGTATATATTATCGGCTTGTTTATGACTGTCAACTCATGACATATTAATTATAATAATTTATTTGTAAAAAATATTTTTATTATTAGTTAATTAGTTTATTGTTATAAAAGACAGTGCTGCTTTATTGTCTTCTTATCTGGCAATCAAAACGAAGTTAAAATTAGTTAAATATGACAAGGAATTGCGAAATTTATTGGTGCAAAAAATTAAGAGACTAAAAACTACATTTAGTAAAATAGGAAAATTCAATTACATTCCACATAGCGAAGTGAAATGAACACTGAAACAGAATGAAAATTATAAGATGCCTTAATTGTAAAAAATTTACTTCGTTAAAAATAAATTGAACTTCCGGGCAAATTGGTATTTGTTACCTAATTTAACTTAGGTGATTTTTGTTGCGATTTTCATTCAAAAACTCACCATTAAATAAGGTAATAAATACTTACTGACTGGATCCTGAACACATCTTACGGAGAGTTGAAGATGTTACTGAGTAGGTCTCAGCGATATAAGCTTCACACTCACATTCATACACATTACACACATATATATAATATAATGTACACATACTCATGTACTGCGTCACGTAATTGAAACGGTTTTTTATTGAAAAAAAGTGCGCACGAAGTACACATGTCAGAAGTGAAACTTCTTTGGCAAACTAATTTTTAACTCTTGTTCATATTTAAACAAATCTAAAACTTTAGATTTCCGAGACTTAGAGGGAGGTAAAAAGGAAGTTATGTTAGGAATTTAATTGTCATTAAAATATTAAGTGTCGAAAATTAATACAAATAATAATATTAATTTTTTAAATTTATTTCTTCGATAATAAAAACACGTGGCATTTTAATTTACATTTCGTTATTTGAGATTTCAATAAATTATTTTGCATAAAATATTTCAGAAATCCTCTTTACGAAATATTAATATTAAAAATAAAATTTCTATAAGGTAATTCACCCTTCTCACTCTCTCTCAATCGGTCTCAATCGCTCTCTCCCTTTCGACAAAAACGCTGCATATCTTTGTGACGTTCCGTAAAAATTTTACCCTCACGCGCCTAAAGAAGTTTCACTTCAAAAGGTTTTATTATTATTGTTAAAAATTGTAAGTGTTCAGATCTTATTATGAAGTGAATGCACTTTCGCGAGTATGGGATTCGCTATAACAGTCCTACCTACTAAACCCGTCTCACCAATTACGTCATGTTGGGGAAGCTTGGGGTCGCGTTAGCATTCTACCAAGAGACCCCGTGACTAGCTGCTACAACAAACATTTTCCATTACATTGTCATTGCTTTACAAGTGTTTACTTACAGGAGTGTTCCAATTTCTTTCACACAACGCGTGATTCGTCGGCTTGTTCTCGCTCGCAAGTGCTTCGTCACATTAAAAAGGAAGTTAAATTACTAGACCACTTGTAATTTCCACTCTCGGCCTAGGACGTATTGATACATACATCCTAAACCTCAATGTCTCTAAGGTATCAAACCTTAAAAATTGAACTGTGCCCTCCATCTACGGTTTAAGCACACGCCCGGTGCCGTACAACCCTACCAAAGGCAGAGAATAAATTTCAATTTACAGAAATAAATTTGCACTACGACCGGGAATCGAACCCGAAACCCCTAACCCAACGGACACCTAATAAGACCGCTTTGCTACGAGGCTCTTGGAAATGTAATGCATGTAAAGAATAACACATTTTTTATTTAAATGATAAATATGAAAATTCCCTTCATAATTTTAAACAGACTAACAAGCAAGGGCCTTTATAAGAATTAGTCTCTTTCTGTCAAATTGTATTTACGCTGTGACGAACAGAGACAGTTATGTAATTTAGTTATTTATGGCGTTATACTTACCTCAATATTTATTTCTTTC